AAACCAATGGAGAGCCCAGACTGCCCTGAAGCCCCGTCCTCAAAACACCCTGCCTGGTGATCTTCAAGCTGCCAAGGCCAAATTATTTCAGTGCCTGTGCCCTTCTTGACTTGCTTGCCTGAATTTGACATCTATTTATTTATATCAAAGGAGAGAGAGAGAGAGAGAAAGAGAGAGAGAAACACAGAATGTCAAAGATCTCTCATCTGCTGGTTCACATCCCAAATCTGCAACCTGCAGTTAGGCCAGGCTGAAGCCAGGAGCTGGGTACTCAGAGTCTTTCACATGGGTAACACAGACCAATATTTGAGCATTTGCCTGCTGCCTGCCAGCAAGAAGCTGGAGTCAGGAGCCACAGCCAAGGTTCGGACCCAGGCACTCCGATGTGCAATGTGGGGACCTTACCCACTAGGCCAAATGCTGCCCTTCTTTCCTTTTTTTTTTTTTTTTTTTGACAGGCAGAGTGGACAGTGAGAGAGAGAAACAGAGAGAAAGGTCTTCCTTTGCCGTTGGTTCACCCTCCAATGGCCGCCGCGGCTGGCATGCTGCGGCCGGCGCACCGTGCTGATCCGATGGCAGGAGCCAGGTGCTTCTCCTGGTCTCCCATGGGGTGCAGGGCCCAAGCACTTGGGCCATCCTCCACTGCACTCCCTGGTCACAGCAGAGAGCTGGCCTGGAAGAGGGGCAACCGGGACAGAATCCGGCACCCCGACCGGGACTAGAACCCGGTGTGCCGGCGCTGCAAGGTGGAGGATTAGCCTAGTGAGCCGCGGCGCCGGCTCCTTCTTTCCTTCTTAAACAGCTCTTCCCAGGGCCCCCTCAGGGCCCCCTCAGCACCACTGTCTTACTTTCTCCTGATGGACAGCTCCCTGGCTCCTTGACCTCTGGCCCTCTTCACACAGGTAGCCACCGAGTCTCCCTAAATGATCCTTTGCACCAGACCACCTCTGGGTCAGCCTTCCCACTGCGCTCCAAACCCACAAAGCCAGCCGGCCCCTTGATATCCATGCTCGGAAGTCTAAACAGCTGTGTGCAGTTGGCCAGAAAACAGCAACTCCTCTCACACCTTCCTCCCCTAACTTGCTGGCATCATCGATGCAGAGATCCACGCCCAAACACTCAGAGTCACTCCTGGTGACTCCATATCCACATCCACACAGCAGCCAGCCCGACTGGTTCTATTTCCAAAATAAACCCAGCTCCAGTCACTTCTCTGTGTCCTCACCTTCCCCACCCCGCCTGGCTCAGTCATCCCCCTCTCTTCCATCTGGGTCATAGGGTACCCTCCGGAGTGGTTCCACTCTTGCCCACTTCAATCCGTCTTAGCCCCAGCCAGAGCGATCTTGGTATGAGACAATCACATCATACACAGCTGCGTGTTGCTTAGCAACAGGACCGGTTCTGAGCAATGCACTGTCGGTGGTGTTCCAGAGAGTGGGCTTCCACAGACCTGGACGGCACAAGTGACCACACCCTGGGGCTGTGTGGTCCGGACTGCTGCCCCTAGACTACCAACCTGTACAGTATGCCTATGCCACTGTAACATAATGGTTGGTATTTGTGTATCTACCCACAGAAAAGGCACAGGAACAATGCTAGGCAATAAGAATTCTTCAGTTGTGTTATCAGCGTGGAAGAGCACGTTCAGAGCCCTGGTCCACTGCTAACCAAAACGGACAACACCACTGTAGAGAATCCTGGTAGGGCTTTGGGTTACCAGCCCGAAGAGATCAGGCCTCTGGCTTGGTCTAACCTCCAACACTGAGGCTTTGCTGGCAGGAGCTAGTGAATCTGCCTTCTTTTTGTTACAACCTGAGTTTCATCAACTTCAACTGAAATTCAAATTAAAGGCAGTACAATGAGCAAAAGAACAAAAGGGAATCTACCCTCTTGTTGCCCTGAGGCTGACACTCTTGGAGGGAATTCTGAAGACACTTCTAAGAGAAGTCATTCTTGTGATTTTTCCTTCTGAAATTAATTTTTAATAACAGAACACATTGGGTTCAAAAGTTATTTTGTACCTCCAGGAAAATAAGCTCAAGATCCTCACCTCATTGGCAGGTGATACTGACAGACTTTTTTCAAAGATTCAGTCTGAAAAAAAAGTACTATTAAAATACTTGATACAGGCCGGCGCCGCGGCTCACTAGGCTAATCCTCCGCCTAGCGGCGCGGGCACACCGGGTTCTAGTCCCGGTCGGGGCGCCGGATTCTGTCCCGGTTGCCCCTCTTCCAGGCCAGCCCTCTGCTGTGGCCAGGGAGTGCAGTGGAGGATGGCCCAGGTGCTTGGGCCCTGCACCCCATGGGAGACCAGGAAAAGCACCTGGCTCCTGGCTCCTGCCATCGGATCAGCGCGGTGCGCCGGCCGCAGCGCGCCAGCCGCGGCGGCCACTGGAGGGTGAACCAACGGCAAAAAAAGAAAGACCTTTCTCTCTGTCTCTCTCTCTCTCACTGTCCACTCTGCCTGTCAAAAAAAAAATAATAAAAAAAAATACTTGATACAGCTCAACTTTTATGTTTACAAAAGCACATATTCCTTCAAATGAGGAAATTTTGTCTGAATATGCCTAAGGTCTTTTTTTTTTTTTTTAGATTTATTTATTTATCTGAAAGTCAGAGTTACACAGAGAGAGAAGGAGAGGCAGAGAGAGAGGTCTCCCATCCGCTGGTTCACTCCACAAATGGCTGCAATAGCCAGGCCGAAGCCAGGAGCCAAGAGCTTCATCTGGGTCTCCCACATGGGTGGCAGGGGCCCAAGGACTTGGACCATTCTCTACTGCTTTTCCAGGCCATAGCAGAGAGCTGGATCAAACGTGGAGCAGCCGGGTCTCAAACTGGTGCCCGTATGGGATGCCGGCACTATAGGCGGTGGCTTTACCTGCTAGGGCAGAGCGCCAGCCCGACCCAGGGTCTCAAGTAGAGAAATCAGGGATTTGGGGTTGGTGCTGTGGTGCAGGGGGTTGCCACTCTGACCTGAGGCGCCAGCATCCCATATGGCCTGCTCTGCTTCTGATCCAGCCCTCTGCTATGGCCTGGGAAAGCAGTAGAAGATGGCCCAATTCCTTGGGCCCCTGCACCCACATGGGAGACCGGATGGAGGTTCTGGGTCCTGGCTTTGGCCTGGCCCAGCCTTATTTGGGGAGTGAACCAGTACATGGAATATCTCTGTCTTTCCTTCTTTCTCTATAACCCTGCCTTTCAAATAAATAAATAAACCTTTTTTTTTTTTTAAAAAAAAAAGCAAGATAAACAGGGTACTGAAAACTGAAAAACATTAAAATAAGAGTAGCATTTTAGAAGGAATATTGTATATTAATATTAACATTCGTATTTATTTATTGTAAGTAAAACATACTCTCATTTGACAAGAACAGATATATGAAATAACAGAATGTTAGGCTTAAAAAAAAATACAAGTAACTACCCTCCTTGGGCAAAGTACTATCCCTGGAAGAGGATTATAATTGCATTTGCATCTGCTGGTGCCAACTTCTCCTTCTGTCTACTGATACTAAATGATGGTTTTCTGAAACTCACTTTTAAAGAATCTTATAATCTTAATTTCTCATTACATGCTAAGAATTATTTCCCTAAATATATGGGAGATTTTATGATTACTTTTAGGCAGACATGATGGAACAAACTGGAGGACTTGAATTTTGTCTCTAAATGTTTAAATCTCGGGCTGAATGGGACGCCACTGCTGATATCAGTCAGGACTGTGTAGTTCTGGGTGATTTCTTCAATATGCAAAAGTACCATAGCAAAACAGGAGGACATCGTCCCGCTGTGGGATCTGTGGGACCCACCCCTCCACTGCCACAACAGCCCCTTACCCCTCTCTGAGCCGCCCAATTCAAGACATAGTTCAGTAAAACCAGTGAGCTCGCCGGGCCAGATGCCCGAGCCCCTTCTTCCTTCTTCCTGCACCCCCTAACTCCTTTTCAGACATTCTAGAGATGTCACTGGCTATGCCGAAATACTTCTCAGAAGCAAAAATCACACCAGAGCATGCAAAGAAAAGCCTTTAAAAAAAAAAAGTAGTTCCTATCTATCGTCCCACAGGGTCCACAGATGACGCAGTACTCTGCCAAGGAGAAGGAGCAGGTGCGAGCAGGTGACATGGGCCCACAGTCAGGGCAGCGCAAGTCCGCTCTGTCTTACACACAGGTTTCTGCAAGAACTTCCCTTCAAAGGCAGGATTCTAAGCAGGAACCGCCATGCCAAGCGTTACAAACTTTGAAGTACTGTTACTGACAGCCCATTCCCTGCAAGAGCACAGGTGCACACACACACACACACACACGGTTAACAATGCAACTGTGACAACCTCCTGAGGAACCTGACAGGTCCTTTTCCTTTGAAACATGCTTTATCAAATGCTCCAATAGTAATATTTTAAGAAGTGTATGTCCATCAAAGGAGAGAAAGCGAATACCGGCATCAGCTTTTGCATAAGCAATACTGCCATCCACCGGGACAGAAAGCAGGCCTTGGGCATGCAGATGTGAACCCAAGTGCGCCTTCACATGACACGTGACATTCAGGAGAGGCCAATGCTCTAGAGCAAATCTTCTGCTGACTTGATGTGACACATGCGCATCTGAACAGGAAACTGAATTCTGTTCTGTTACTCCTTGAGAGGCAATTATACCCCGTCAATGTTCTTCTCATGGAATTCCTACTGTTGTTATCTGGGAAGCTGCCTGTGACTTTAACGATACATACAGGAAAAAGCATTCTCAACATTTCTTAAAGGTATGCTGTCTTCCTATCAGCCTCATCCACGCGTTCATACAAACATTTCTTAGAGTGCTGCTGTCTTCAATATTTCAAACCAACACAAGTATTTCAGAATAGAGGAAATATTGCTCTTAAGACGTTAGAGAGCCAGATTTCAGACAGTTCATAATGGATAAACACCTGATTCTCAATGAGCAAGTCGTTAAAAATCGTTCCATCGGTCACTGTTTAAAGTATTTCAGAAAGGACTGACTTACCTGTGAATACTCAAAATCAGTGATCGGCGCGATGCTCTTGATGTAATCTGATCGAAACTGGTTCTCCGGGTTGGCCAGTGGAACTGGGGGTATAATGGTACTCATCGCGGACACTATTGTCTGAAAAAGAGTGAAGAAAAGAAAGATGGATAAACATAATGCTTGGGCACTATGGACGCTAATCGAAGATGTATTCACTTCTAGCTCCACAGTTTTAGAACGCAGAGTGCTTCAACTTTCTAGTAAACAACCATTACAAAAGGTGCTTACCACAATCGCGTCTTTAACATTTTTCCGGATGTCCAGGATTTTCTGTTTCTTTTCCCTGTGTTGAAAGAGAATTGGTATTACTATAAATTTCCCTTTAGCACTGATTTGAATCAACTGAGTGGGATTTTAAGTTTCCCGCTACGGAGTGGGGCTAGACTGGTTCACAGGTGGTTCCCACCACCCCAAGACAACATCTGTGCAGTTTTTATCTGGGAAAGGAAAATACTGCCCCTTTCTAAACTGAACTCAAAACAAACTTCAACGTCTGCTTTGCTGCTTTCCAACAGTCATTTTACAATAGATAGCGTTAAACAAGCACGCAGGTTACTTCCAAACATGGCAAAATCGCTAAGGATAGTGCATGTAAGTTCAACTTCAGTTATAGTTGTAAATACATTTTACTTAAATTTCTCCAGTTTGTTGTTACATAAACAATGAAGCAGATTCAAGCAAATGATGTGATGGAGAAAAGTTCATATTGAGGTGCAGTTGCTTTCCATATTCACAGTCAGAATCTGTGGATCAAGAACATTTGGGGGAAAAGAACTGGGTCTGTACTGAACGCGTACCACCTTTCCCCCTTGTCACCATTCCATCATCAGTAAGCAGCTATGCATAGGGCATTGTCACCGTGTAATATTGTAAGTCATCCAGAGGTGACTTCCAGTGGGCAGGAGGATGTGCGTGGGTTCTGTTCAAACAGTGCAGTGTTTTACGTAAGAAACTTCAGCATCCGCGGATCTGGGTTTCTAAGGGGTCCTGGAACCCATTGCCCATAGACACTGGGGACAAACTGCATTGATGGTGGGCTCCGAGCAGTACCAGTACTACAAACCAATAGCATAAGAATGTCGAATAAATTGTATTTCGTTAGTCAAGATACTTATTTTTAAACTAGATACTGTCAGAAGAATTTGCCTGGGTACGTTAAATTCAACAGCACATTTGTATTCCCCCTCACCCCTTCCCCGCCCCCCATCAAATGAACCGCTCAGCGACGTTAAATTCAACAGCACATTTGTATTCCCCCTCACCCCTTCCCCGCCCCCCATCAAATGAACCGCTCAGCGACTGCACTTCTGAGGGCAGCGAGAGAGATGGGACAAAGTTTGCAGGCACTTGGGCAGCAAACCCGGAACTGATCGTTCTTACTCGGGATTGAATCCATTGACGTGCAGGATCCTCATCTGTTTGACGATAGTGCTTTTCCCGGACTCACCAGCCCCTACAAACAGACAGACAGACTGCTGTGATGTGCGTCCTGACACTGTTGCCCACCCCGCTCACCCTGAAACCTGACCGAGCGAGTTTTCCCCTAAACAGGGGGCTATCGCGTCCTCGCCGCTCCTGGCTGCAAGAGCTCTGCCCCGCGCCGTCGGGGCTCGGCCGGCCCTGCCCGCTCTGCCCGGGCTCGCCGCGTTCCCAGCCGAGAGAGCTCTGCGGGGGCCGCGGGCCGTGCGCCCTGCCCGGGGCCGTGCGCTCCGCCGGGCCGCAGCCGCCGCGCGCCCTTACCCAGCAGCAGCAGCCGGTGAGTCGCTTTGTAAGCCAGGCGCTCTTTCTGCAACTGCTTCTCGATCTTTTTGTTGGCCTCGCGTCGTTCTTTTTCATCGACGCCCTGGTCTTCTGTCGTCTTGCTGTTGCCCAAACACCCCATGCCTGCCCGCTGAGACTGACGACCGCACTGTTAGGAATGCGTACAGAAAGCACCAGAGAGGCGCAGCGATTTGTGGATCTGGCGACAGCTTCGTTCCTCCTCGCTGCTGAAAGAAACGGCCTCGTCTCTCTCGGTGTTTTCCGATGGGAACAGACGTTTCTTCTCCCACCCACTGCCCGCTGCAAACTCCCAAGTGAAAAGGATGCAAGGAAGACGCGCCGATGGAAAAAATGCTTTTTAAAAGACTGTTAAAAAATCTGCCGGATAAACACCGTACAATGAGCGGAGACGGAGAGGCGCGGGCGCCCGGCTCCGTTGGAAACAGGCGCGCGGCACGGCGCAGCGCCCTGGGCTCGCCCCGCGTCCCCGCGCCTCGCTCAGTCCCGCCCCGTGGGGGGACCCCGAGGGGGCGGCGCGCACGCTCGGAGGCTGGGTCCCCTCCGGGCAGACGGCCTAGCACAGCGCGGAAGGACGGAGCGCGCCACCGGGTCCCACCGGGGTGACTACGGGCACCTGCCGGGCCGGCTCACGTCCCGCTCGGCCTCTGCCGTCGAACCCGCGCTGCCTCAGGAGTCCGAGCTTACGCGGCGGAAGAAGGGGAACGGGAAGGGGCAGGGGCTCCGAGGCGGCCGCACCGCTGGTGCCGGGACTCTCCGGCTCCCCAGCAGAGCCCGGCGGGCAGGAGGAAGGACAAGGGGGACGCTTACACGCTGCGCGCGTGGGTTCCCGAGCCCGCCGCCCGCTCCTGCAGCCGCGGCCGCGTGGCTCTCTCGCACCCCGCGCCAGGGAGAGTGCTGTGGGCGCGCGCTCGCCGCCTTCGCCCGGGATCATGCATATTCTATCAGGGAGGAGGCTCCCAGAGGCGCCCCAGTCGCACCGCCTTTGTTCCCTTGACGCTCGCTCGAGACGCAGCAGCGCACCCACGCCGCCGCCTCCCTCGCCGCCTGTCTTTACCTCCAGCCCCCTGTTCCTCCTCTGCAGCTCTTCCTGACACCTTTTCTAGAAGACACTGTGGCCTCCAGCTTGGCCTTGTGGCAGAGGAGCGAGCGAGGGCGGGAGACCGGCACCTGTTGGCCTTCGCTGTGACTGAGGCCGAGCCCCCTCCCTTCCTGGTAGGCAGGACGGGCAAAGACGTCCCTGGGCCCGCGTCGGGGCGGCGGTGCAGACCACGGTTCCTGCGCACTCAGCTGCTGCAAGGTCATAGTCTCCAGTTGGGCGGGCCCTGTGCTCTACCCCCAACCCTGCACCCGGGCCTGGCTTTCTCATGCCTTGGTTCAGCTGTGTTTTCGAGGCCCCCACTTTTCTCCAAACTCTCATGTTCAGCCTGACTTGGCCTTCTCGCCCCCCAGCGGCGCTGCCCCACGCTCGGCTTCTCCATCGCGGGTCACAGACACTGCCCCTGCCTCCCCCGGACCCCTCCTCCCCGCCCCCGCCGTCCCCTCACCGCCTCCTCCTTCAGCCTCTGCTCTTTCTATGGGCTTCTGTCTCTCACTAGTATAAACACATTCAACTCTGTCCCATTTTAAACCAACAAAGCCTTCCCCCTCGGGCCGTGTCCGCTTCCTCCACGGTCGCCCTCGTGCCCACTGTGGCGCAGAGTTAAACAGGGCATCTGACGCTGCCTGGCCTGCACATCCTACCTACCCCCTGTTCATACCCCAGCCCCTGCAGCCTGCCTATGGCTCATGCCTCACACAAAAAAATCTCTTATCAGCATCCTCCACGCTTTCCTAGGGCCTAAAAGGTCTCAAGGAATCTTGGTCTCCACTGCACTTGACTTCTCCCTGGAGGTTCAACTCCTCTTTGAGACAGGGTGTCTTTGGCTACCTCCACACTGCCCTTGGGGGCTCCTGGCTCACCTCTGGCTGGGGTAGCTCAGTGCCTGGGTCACCCAGCACAGCCTCCTCTCTCCCCTGGCACATGTTCTGGGTGGGCCAACTGTACCCTCCACACCCTGACCACACAGGTCTAAACCATGGCCACATCAAGTCACCAGCCCAATGCCCCCATGGGGCCTCAACTTGGCAAGCGTGGGTCCAGCCCTGTTGGAAGCATATGGGGAGTGAACCAGTGGCTGGAAGCTATCTACCTCTCTGACTCTCAAATAAATAAAATAATTTTTAAAATTGAATGTTTTCATGGGATTTGTCTTGTCCTCTTCTTTTTGGCAATGTATAATTCATGGCATTTAAAAAAGGGACAGGTATTTGGTTTAGTGGTTAAGATGTCCCCAGTCCACGGAGGAGAACCTGGGTTCGCTACCTAACTCTAACCCTCGATTCCAGCTTCCTGCTAATGCAGTTCCTGAGAGGCAGTGGGGATGCTTGAGTGGTGGCTCCCTGCCACCCACATGGGAGACCCAGGCTGAGTTCCTCCCTCCCAGCTTCGGCCTGGTCCAAGCCTGGACATTGCAATAACCCTGAAAAGCAGGCACTACTATCACTATTATTTTAAGAGGGTGAGTTTGAGGGGTGTCTTTACATACACCCTTGCAGTCTGGTTGTGACAAGTGCACAGTACCTGCAGTGTGTACCTCCACATCCCACTCAACCCTAAAACGTAAAAGTGCTTTCCAGGGCAGGATTTGGGCACAGAGAGTTAAGTCAGTGCCTGCAATACCAGCATCCCATAGCAAGTGCTGGTTCTAGTCCCTACTGCTTTGCTTCAGATCCAGTTTTCTGTTAATGTGCCTGGGAAAGCATCGGATGATGGCCTAAGCACTAGGGCCCCTGCCATACATGTGGGAGACCTGGATGGAATTCCTGGCTCCTAGCTGTGGCCTGGCTCAACCTCAGCTATTGCAGCCACTGAGGGAGTGAACCAAATGGTGGAAGATCTCTTTCTCTCCCTGTCTTCCCTACCCTCTGTCATTCTGACTTTCAAGTTAATCAGTCAATAAATCTTTTAAAAAATATGCTTTCCTTATATAGTGGGCTTCAAAAAGTTTAGGAAAAAAAGGAATCAAATGACAATTTGAATTTCCCATGAACTTTTTGAGGCCCCCTTGTATAATAACGAAAATACTTCTTATGAAAAAAGCAAAATCAACCTTTTTTTTTTTAAAGTTTCATTTATTTGTTTTTTATTGGAAAAGGAGAGAGAGAGAAAGAGACCTTCCATCTGCTCCCCAAATGCCTGAAACACCCAGGGCTGGGCCAGGCTGAAGCCAGGAGCCCAGAATTCCATCCAGGTCTCCCACATTGGTGGCAGGGACTCAAGTACTTGAGCCAACATTTGGCCTCCCAGGATGTGCATTAGCAGGAAGCTGGGTCAGAAGTGGAACAAAGACTTGAACCCAGGCACACTGATACAGGCATATTCAGGCATCATGAGCAGTGTCTTAACTGCTGTGCCCCAGTGCATTCCAAGCCAGTGTTTATTATCAAGCAGGAACTCCAGACACTAAAAGCATTTTTTTTTAAACTCACTCATCTGGACTTTACTTAGTCTGGTCTTAGAAAGAAAGTGATTTAGGAGCCAGTGATGTGACTCAGTATGTTAATCCTCTGCCTTCAGTGCCAGCATCCTGTATGGGCGCCTGTCTAGTCCTGGCTGCTCCTCTTCCAATCCAGCTCTCTGCTATGGCTTGGGAAAGCAGTAGAAGAAGGCCCAAGTCCTTGGGCCTTGTACCTGCATGGGAGACCCGGAAGAAGCTCCTGGCTCCTGGCTCCAGATCAGTGCAGTTCCGGCCATTGCAGCCATTTGGGCAGTGAACTGGCAGATCGAAGACCTCTCTGTCTCTCCCTCCCACTGTCTGTAACTCTATCTCTTAAATAAATAAATAAAAACCTAAAAAGAATTGTTAAAAAAAGATTTATTTAAAAAGAGAGAGAGAAAGAAAGAGAGAGAGAGAAAGTGATTCTTATTGGGGCCGGTGCTGTGGTGTAGTGGGTAAAGCCATTGCATGCAGTGCCGGCATCTCATATGGGTTCTGGTTCAAGTCCAGGGTGTTCCACTTCCAATCCAACTCCTTGCTAATATGCCTGGAAAAGCAGCATAAGGTGGTCCAAAATCAGCAGAAGATGGTCCAAGTGCTTGGGCCCCTGTACCTACATGGGAGACCTGGAGGAAGCTCCTGGTTCCTGACTTCGGATTGGCCCAGCTCCAGCTGTTGTGGCCATTTGGGGAGTGAACCAGTGGATGGAAGAGCGCACGCTCTCTCTCTCTTTCTACCTCTCTCTCTCTTCCTCTCTCTCTCTCTCTGCCTCTCCGTAACTCTGCCTTTCAAATAAATAAATCTTAAAAAAGTGAATTTTATTATGTTTCAAGCCACTGGATCAGAATCCAGATCCCTCACTGGTGCAAGACTGGACGACAGGCAGCACAATCATCTGTTGCCAAGCAGCTGCAGAACAGCATCAGCATCTGTTGCCAGGCAACGCACAGCCACTTGTAGGGATGAAAGGTGGCCCTGGGAGCCACACCGCGGAGGGCAGAGGCTGGAAGAGCAGGTGAGGGAAGGCTTTGGTCACCTCTAGAAGAGTCGGAAAGGCACAATGTTTGGAGCAAAAGTCCAACAGTGAAACAAAGTGGAGTTCTCCTCACTTCTATTGATGTTCATTACTTACGGT